CTGGGGTGGTATTGTCTGGGTTTTCAGAGGTTGATGGGGAGAGTGAGAGTGACTAACTTTTCACTCCACCATCTTGGCTCCCAGAAGCGGAAGTAGTCTATATTGTACTTAAGAAATAGACTTGAAGCATAAAGTCTCATATAGAGTTAAAATAAAGGGTTGGAACAAAAATCTATTATGCCCCCCCCCCCAGCTATACACAAAAAAGCAGGGTTAATAAGTTTTTCAAACACAACATCTCTTAAATACCATCTACAGAATTATAGAAGGACTGTGATCTATGTTAAACAAGGAAGTACTTACATTGATTATATATATAATAAATTTCATCATATAATAAAATAATATAATAATTATATAATATATAAAATTATATATAACAAACTTCACATTTCTTTAGTACTTTACAATTTATAAAACACTTCCCATGATTGTCATTCATGATAATTAAACACCCCCATCCAGAAAATTTCCAGGCAGCAAAAACTAGATGAAAATTTCTTATTTTGGAATATGGGATAATCTCATTTCCTACCAGATAAGTGGGCTGAAGCATTTTCCCTATGTTAAGTAGGTTTAACTATTTCCTACAATTTGGAATGTGTATGATCAAGTCTGGAATGTCACATACTCCATACTTTAATACTTTAATGGAAATGTGATCTCATCATTGTGGGTACTCTCTCCATCAGTATTAATCATGATACATCACTATGTTTTCTAATCCTGTGTGATTCTTGCCTATGTTCTGTCATAGATCCTCCACAGAAGAGCCACCCAATGGGCTACAGTGTTTTTTCCAGGTCTGCTTTGTATAGGTACTAGGGCAGCACTTAAGTTTTCTATCCATTTTCTCTTGTTCAATCTTATTTATATAATAATCTGGAGAAACGGGCTGTATAAAATAAACTACTTTACTTTTTAGTTCAATTAATTTCCCAATGAACCAGATGTATCTCTATTTTCCATGGCATCTGACTTGAGATAACTCTTAGAATTTGAAGTGCACACTTCATAAGAAGTCATGAATTATTCACCCCCTTAGAACTGAGTGCATAACATGGTGAGACACAAAAAGGCTTTTTAAACAGAAATGCATGTTGCTGTCAGACTTCCCCTAGGGATTCTGTGCTCTCATCAAGGTTAATTCCTAGAGAGATGGGAATTATCAATCTCAAATCCTCAGAGACTAACATTTCTATTTCTCTCAGTGAAGTCTGAAAATGTTCATATCAGAGTTATTAAATAAATTCTCAGAGAAATCAGTTGTGTTGTGGTCGAGGAAGTGGCCTTTATGGATGAACCATTGTGGAATTATTAGTACAGATATATTCTCCTTTCTTCCAGAAAAATCCTTCCTAAAGGCTGCCTGCCTGCCAGTCTCCCCTTGATTAATGGGTCATAGATTTCAGAGGAGTTAGGACTGGATGGCACCTTAGAGATATCTAGTAACACTTTCATTTTACATATAAGAAAACTGAAGTCCTTTATGAAGAGTTAAGGTTCTGCAAGTGAGAGTAACATTTGACATTTATATAGTGCTTTAAGATTTATAGACCACTTTATATATCTTTATCTATATGTCTATATCTATATCTATATCTATATCTATATTCTCTCACTTGGTCCTCACAAGAACTTTGTGAGGTAGGTGCTATTATTATTCCCCATTTTACAGATGAACAAACTGAGGCAGACAGAGGTCAATTAACTTGTCTAGAATGCCAATTGACTTACTGTTATGTATCTGAGGCAAGATTTGAACCCATCTTTTTTTACTTTAGGCATGACTCATATAATTGAATCACAATAATATTAAAATATCTTCGAGCTAGTAAATTTGATGAACGAGGCAAAGAAAACAAGACTTATCTGGGGTAAGCAGCATGAAATGAAGAAGAGGAATGGGAGTCAAAAATCATGAAACACCAGTCCTTATTAGTTAAGGTCCTGGGACACTATGAAGCTATTACCTGTGAGGCTGCTGGGTGTGAAAGAATGGGATTTTGAGAACAGAGCAAGTCTAGGTGGGGGTGGGGGGAAAGAGATATTCTTTCACGTAGCTTCTTATTTTAACTTCAATTCAATAAGCACTTATTAAGCATCTGCTATGTGCCAGGCACTGTTAAGTTCTGGGAATAAAATAAGAAAAGTAAAGACCGTCACTGTCCTTGAGGAGTTTTCAATCTAGTGCAGGGAAGACAACACATAAAAACAAATTGGAAAGCAGAGTGAGGAGGGGCATCAGAGGGTCCCCAGCTTGGAAGAATCTTGTTCCAGAGAGTTGAAGCCAAATAAAGCTGTAGATGGAAAGTAGAATGAGCTGGAAATCTACTTTTAGCTTTGCATAAAGGAAAGATGTGGGATGAGTCCTCCAATCAGAGAGGAGAGGAGGCTGAGAAAGGTGGGAAAATATCGAATACATTTATTATTGAGTAACTGATTTTTAAAGTAGTGGTAAAATTGAAAAGACTTGGAAGTTGATTAGATGAAGATGTATAAACTAGATAATCTTGAAAATATTACATAGCTATTCTACTCCCACCAACTCTATCCCATTCTTGATGCAGCAAAGCTGCTTTATCTGACAATGAGAATTTATTGACATAAGAATATTTTAATGGCTACTTTATCCAACTACCAAGGTATTTCCATTGATAATTATTGTCTTTTTCTTTTACCTGCTATGTTAGAGAAGAACATGTCTGCTAGAATGCCCAGAGCCTCTGAAACTGTTCTTTCTGATGGGTGACATGCCCCCCTAACCCATCCCTCTGTAACTATAGACATAGTCATTTGGTGAAAAGAGTGCTAGAATTGGAATGCAAAGGCCAAAGTTCCAGCCTTGTCCCAAGCACTTAATTACTATTTAGCCCAAACAAGTCATTTAACCTAGAGTTAAGCTTCAGTCTCCTCTGCTATATACATGTGTGGGGAAGAGTGGACTAACTGATTTCTAAGACACTTTCTAGCTTTAATATTCTGAGTCTGAAATCTAGGTTAGAGTTTCTCATTTAATCATCTAACATTTGGGATGTACCATCATTTGTCTGAATCTTATTTCACCATCTGTAAAATGGGAATGATACTATTTGACCACTTCCCTCTTAGGGTTGTTGGAGGAAGATGTTAAGCAAATGTGAGCTCTTTGTTTACTTGGTTATTCCTAGGTAATCAAAAAACTAGAGGAAGAAGTTTTTTTGCCCAAGAATTACAAGTGAATAATCCACAAAAGACATTCTATAAACTGTTATATAACATTTAACTATTTATTCTAATTGGTGGAATCTCATGAAGATTTCTGTAGCACTCTACTATTAACATTGCCATAAATAAGCTGAATCCACCAACTTATTAAAAAAAGGCTCACTTATGAAATGTGAAACGTATATTGATGATATGTATGTCTTCACATCTTCATTTGGACAGTCATGGAAACATTTTCTTTGGCCAATCACTACTCTTTGTAGCTATCAGTGCTTTCAGCTGTCGAAGGAGAGCATCACTGAACTGTCCAGGGTGCTAGTGGTCACATGCTTCCTCTCTGAAAGTCAACTTCGTCTCCTTCCCCTCATTCGCGTTCTCATTTAAGACCAATCTTGCTTACTTCTGCTATTAAAAGCATGCTTTGCTGACTGCCTAGTAATTTACTTACACTTACCTGATTTCTCTGAATCAAGAAGATATTAGCAAGTGACACTTAACCAATACCCTGATCCCAACAGCCTCCAGCCATGGTAACTGAGGACCCTGAACACTCACCTTGCTTGATTAAATGAATGAAAAAAGCATTTATGAAATGCTTGCTATGTGCAAAACATTGTGCAAAGCATTGGAAGTACAAATAGTAAAGGAAGATGGTCTCTTTTCTCAAAGAGCTCACATTCTTTTTTTTAAAATGAATTTATTATTTTTAATATTCTTTTTAAAAATTTTGAGTTCTGAATTCTCCCTTCCCACCCCACCCTCATCCAATGAGAAGGCAAGAAATGTGATATCAGTTACTTTTGGTGTCTTCATGGTAGTAGTAGTAATGTTGGGTAGAGCTAGAATTCAGAGAGCAGCCTGAAGATACTAAGCTTCCCTGCTTTCCAACTAAAATCCTATCCCTCTTAGTTCTTTCCTTCCCTCATTTCCTATTTAACCTGTATGTAGCTTCTTTGTACATATTTGTTTACTTGTTTTCTCCTCCGTTAGATTGTGAGCTCCTTGAGTGTAAGGACTGTCTTTTGATTTTTTGTTTTATATCCCCAATACATGACATATAGTAGGTACTTAATTGTTTACTGACTGACTGAAGGCTTGGGTTGGGATAGGGCTTAGAGGCTAGGAAAGAGATGCATAGAAAGAAAGGCAGGATGGTGCCAATGACAAAACCACCTATATAAATAAAAGCTATAATTATATAGCACTTCATTATTCACAAAATAATTTTCTAACAAAAACCTTGAGAAGTAGGGAGCACAATTGTTATTCCTATTTCTTATAGATGTGGAAACCAAGACTTAGGGACATTAAGTTACATACCCAAGGTTGCATAGATAGTGAATGTTGGAGACAAAATTTGATCTCACTTCTTTCTTTAGTCATCACAACATTGTATCCACTGCAACACAATGCCTGCTCACAGTTAAGCCTGGGACTGGCTTTGCCTAAGTCTGTAAGTTAGTACTGTACCCTATGCACATGGTGGAAAAGTTCTTGCCTTTCTTTTACCTTCATGCATAAAGCTTGCAGAAATATATTGGCATTATCTCAGATATCATGGCTCACAGGGCCACCTGGAGGAGAAAGTGAGGCTGGTGACTTGGCATAGCCCTCCTTCCCTTAAATCCAATTCACTTGCATGTGATGATATCACCTTCTTGATGTCATAGTCCTCTTAGAGAACAAAAGGACAAACAAGAACAACAATGACCTCAGACATGATGGCTCACTGGGCCATCTGGTTCATATTTCTGGATATATACATATATATCCAGATACACACACATACACACACACACACACACACACACACACACACAACACACATTTTAAATTAGCAGCTTTGGGATTAAGAATGAATAGAGAATCTATGCTGATGGACAGGAGATGGAATCCTGAGGAAGCTGCGAATGTTCCTAGTCTAAGCTGCACCATGCACTTAGAGGTAAGTAGCTGGTGCAGTGGATAGAGTACTGGACCTGGAGTTAGGAAGACTTGGATTTAAATCCAGCCTCAGACATCTTCTGGCTATGTGAACCTGGGCAAGTCATTTACCTTCTGTCTGCCTCAGTTTCTTCAACTGTAAAATAGGGATAATAATAGCATCTGCTTCCCAGTGTTGTTGTAAAGATCAAATGAGATGATACTTGTAATTAGCATAATGCATGGCACATGGCAGACATTTAGTAAGAGCTTCTTTTCTTTCTGTCTCTTTATGACCATAGATAAATCACAATCTTTAGATACTTAAGCTTCTCCACTTATAAAATAGAAATAAGCTTAAGATTGAACCTGGCATGTATAAGAAACTTCCAAATGAATAAAATTTCTACCAAAGTAAGTAATCACCTTCTCTGCAATTTATAGTATTTGAGAGTTATCCAGAGCCCCAAGAAGTTAAGTTACTTGTCCAGGGTCACACAGTCAGTATGCTATTTGTTGCACTCCATCTGGCAGATATGGCAAATTAGAGTACAGTTTAGAGCTCATTGTAATGGAAGTGATGCATTACCATTCAGTATAAATTACTGATCAATATGCGCTTTAATAACCAACTGTTGGGATGGAGGTATAGCACAGTATGGTGACTAGAATGTGGAAATTGGAGTCCAGAACACCTGGGTTCATATTTTGCTTCTGGCACTTAGTAGCTGAGTGACCATGGATGAGTCATTTAGCCTCTCTCAGTTTGTTTCTTCATCTTTAAGATTTGGATTAGATTACCTATAGTACCTCTCTCGCAGGGTGGTTGAAGATTTCAAGTGAGTTAATGTGTGCAAAGTATGGTGTACCCTTTAAAGTGTTAGATGAAAGGTGTCCCAAAAGTCTTACTGCAGTTTTAAGCTTTAATAACTCTACTTGTCAAGGGCAGACATTATTATTGGGATCAAAATTAAATGGAAGACTTGTTCTTCTTGTCCTCAGAGGACTGAGCTAGAAAAGAATAAATGAAGTTTATGGAGGCAGACTACCTCTGGATATAAGGAAAACTTCCTGGCTACCAGTACTGTTCAGAAGTGGAATGGGCTCAGGGGTAGCTGGGTGGTGCAGTGAATAGAGCACTGGCCCTGGATTCAGGAGGACCTGAGTTCAAATCTGGCCTTAGACACATAATACTTACTAGCTGTGTGACCCTGGGCAAGTCACTTAACCCCATTGCCTAACCAAAAACTAAAAAAATAAAAATTAAAAAAGAAGTGGAATGGGCTTACTTTTGATCTACAAGTTTCCCCATAACTCAGGGTCTTCGAGGAGAAGAAGAATAGCTCCCTGTTGGGAATGTATAGTGAGAGTTACTGTTCAGGTACAGGTTGGAATAAATGATCTCTCTGGTCTGTCCCTACTCTGTGATTCTGTGAAAAGTTTTGGTGACATGTTACAAAATGGCTGAAACTATTAATCCACTTATTTTAGAGAGTGGCCCCAGGATAGAGCTGCATGGATTGGAGGTTGGATTTGCATCAGCAGAATATGCTTAATTCTATAGTCAACCACTCGGACCCCAAGGTCTACCTGGCATAGAAATTTTGCCATCTGCTCTCCTACCTGTGCAAACTACCATCTTAAGCTCACTCAATGCTTTTCACTTCTTGCTCAGAGCACAATAATTAAATCAATTGTACCAATAAGACAGGTGAGAGGGTACACAAAGTAAGAATGACACTCACTTAAGTTACAGGCATTGCACAAAACAAAACTATAGAATAATAAAGAGTTCTTTTGCTGTTAAAAAAAACTTTCTTAGGTATTGTATGTATAGGTGAAATGCTTTAAACCAAGGAGTGAGATCATTAAAGTAATAATAGCTTCCATACCTATAGCTTTTCATAGTGTACAAAGCCCTTTCCTAATAGCAACCCCTGTGATAATTGTAGTTCAAGTATTATTACCTCCATCTTATAGGAAAAGAAGTCATCTGTGCAAACCACCACCCATCATGCTCACTCAATGCATTTTGCCTTTGCTCAGGGGATAGTAATCAAATCAATATTATATTGCTATTAGAAAGGACGTGACAAAGTTCTGTCCTATGGTTGCTTGTGCAATCTTTGTGACTGACAAAACAAAACTTCCTTCCTTAGCCACCATTCCCTGTTGCGAGCTTCTCGAGGGCAGGCACTGTATCACCAATATTTTTATCTCTAGAGCCAAGCATAATATCTTAATAAGGGCCTGTTGAATGATTTCTTGACTAGACTGTAGGCATAGTGGATTCTATAGCTAGGACCCTCAGGTGTTGTTATATCAGGAGCAGGCTTGGTGGAAGCCCAGTTATACTGGAGCCATTACTAAGAAAATCAGCTTGGGGAAGACCACAGTTCTAATGTCAAATTGATGAAGAGGAAATCAGAGATTAATAATGAGTATCCAAAACATAGAGGAGTCAAAAGTGAGATGGAAGAGAATCTGGAAGAATTCCTGACTACTATTATGAGGGATTGTCCTCTCAGTTTCTTATTGCTTGGCATCTGCCAGGACCATTCCCTTAATCTCTTTATAGTGCCCCCATGTCCATGACAGCAGCCAAGCCTCTACATGTGATCAGTACCCCAAAGTACAACTTTCTGCATTGTTGCCAACCCATTATAGGTCCCATGTCCAGAATATACCTGTTGAGATACACAAAAAATGAGCACTTTGAATTATTTTGGAGCAATTTAGTGCTTAATATGCCAAAAAGCTACTAAGAAAATTAATAGTCTGATTTCTTATTGCAAGACTACTTAGAAATGATAAATATCCCTGTGTTCTTGTATTTATCCCTTGTAGCTTATAATTTGGCAAAAAAAAAAAAAATGGCAGGAAGGACAAAACCCTGAGAACAAAACTGAGGACAAGGTGATAAGCACTCTTGGAGAAAACAATAGGAAGTCATCATCATCTAAGTGCCATATTTTATTGAAGATGTTTAGAAAAAATTCAGTATTGATTTGGTATTCATCAAGAAACAAGGTTGAAAAGCCTTGAAAATGAGCTAAGAATTGTACTGATTTAGCGAGTCCATGAATGAACTAGAAATTCACATCTGAATGAGAAAAATAATAACAATAAAGAGAGCTCATTTTTAGAAAGCACTCTCCTTATAACCTTATGAGGCATGTCCTTCAGATATTATTTTCCCTATTTTATACATGAAGGAGCTGAGATTCATAAGAAGGTAAGTGAGATGTAATATCTCCTGATTACACAGGTTATCCTGGTGGAGTGACCTTAGTGTAGGAAATACGCGGGTCCAAGTCCTAGCTTGGTCTCTCATGGTCTACCTGTCTTGGCACATAGTAAACACTTAATGAATGCTTATTGATTGAGTGGTCCTCAGTTTACTCATCTGTTAAATGAATGGAGTTAATGACTAAAGTTTTAACATTTGATAAGTCAATCAGTCACACAGGCAGCAAGCGTTCAATTCAGTTTTTACATCAAAGTACTTTTTCTACAATGCCAACAGAATTAGAATTTGAATTAGTTGCCTTGCTAAAGTTCACTCAAGAGTAATTGTCATGTGTATACTAAGACAGGAAGATATATCTCATAGACTTGGGGAAACACACTTTTCGTTTGTTTCTACTAAGAAACCTAACAAATTATCCTGTTTGGGGGTAATGGTCTGGGATGCTTCCAAGCCTCTATATCTTTGGAATGTATCAGAATGGTCAGCCCAGCTTATTAGAGAGAAAATGTCAGATTCTGAAGTCATTCTGACCCAACCTGGTAATGGGGTTGGAGAACTACTGGGAAGATACAAAGGGAAATATTTCCCTGATTATTGGACAACCTTTGTAAAGTCAAATATTGATAGAATAAGGGTGACAGGGACAGATATAGAGTGAGGACTCTTTGGCATTGTATTAGAGCTAGTTATGGGGAGTTGCAGTGTCTCCAGCCAACACTTAACTCTAGTAACTCTTTACTATCTCATACAGTTATGATCCTGACTTTTGACTGGGATACCACTGACATAGAGCTACAAAAGAGAGTGTGGATTGCATGTGTTGGAGGAAATGGTGACAGACTTGGAGCTATGGAAAAGGAACAATATTATTTACTAAGGAGTTAGCTGCAGATGAGTGCTTCTTGGGACAGCGGGAAAATCTCGGTGCTGTGATAAGTGGAAACAGTAGAGGAGAACCATAAATGGCTGGATGCTATAGAGGGCCTTAGCAGGACACAAACACACACCACACACACACACACACACACACACACACACACCCCAAAGAGCTACATTAGAAGCCATATCTGCTTAGGGTTCTACTCAGGGTATAATGATATTTATATGAACCTCTGTGTTGCTCATACATAAGTTATTTTTATTTTCTATAAACTGTTGTGAACCCTACTCTTTTGATTTTTGCCTTGAAATAAGGATTTCTTATTCTTTGGGTTTGGGGAACCATGAATTTATAAGGGGAGTTGGATCAACAAACCAGGTGGTATTTTTTGAGTAGATACACTGAGTCCAAGGAGTGAGAAATTCCTAAAGTATGCCAGAATTCTTAATGCCATGTGAAAGGCTCTGATATCACGGTTACACACAAAATGGATGAAAAAGCCCATAGAAATGGTATGGATGAAATAAGGAAGAAGTATATTGCCTCTCTCTAGACATAAGTCACATAGTATCCTCCCACTCAGTGAATCTCGTATCCTCCTTTGAATTGTAGCACAGAGCTCTGGAAGCAGTAGGTTTCACTTAAAAATCACCTGGGATCTGCTAGGATACGCTTCTCATGGGAAAATGAGGGAAGCAGACCATGAGCAAATTCACACTATAGTTTCAACCTGCAAAATCCAACAGAGTGTTCTTATTGTGGCTGGGGAGTTGGGAGAAAGGGGTGTGTGTGTGTGTGTGTGTGTGTGTGTGTGTGTGTGTGTGTGTGTGTGTGTGTGTGTGTGTGTATGGGTGATAGGGGATGGGGGCTCTGTTAGAAGAGTTAGGTATAG